TCGTCCCCCAGACACTCTCGTTAAAAACATAAAAGACTCTATAGACGACTTTGGCAGCCAATGAGTTAATCTGTGTTTTTTGTGTTTTTGTATTTCTTATTTATTTATTTTTATTTTCATTTTTTTGCTTAATTTGATTTAATTTAACTTAATACTTTCTTGCCCTGTAAGCTGCTGGTAACCTTAATTTCTTCCCAGGGAGTCTTCCCAAGGGATCAATAAAGTACTAAGTCTAAGTCTAAGTCTACACCCAGTCAGAGGCAGTGGGGCTGTTCGGCCACTAGAGGGCAGTCTGGTGTCAGATTTATATTCTTTAAAAGAGAAAAAAAAACTGTTGTGAGAATTTTATTCTAAAGCAAAAGTCTGAGTCCGTCCGAGTGAGTCAAAAATAGAAAAATAGACATTTTATTAAAGGGAAAAAGCTTCATGGAGTAAGAGCATACAACTCATCAAGCTGCTTCCCTGTTAAACTAAATCAAAGTACATTTATAGTCCTCTCTGATCTGGGATGAGGGTAAAGTCTGTCTCCACCACAGAGAAACCTGCATCTGGACCACACAGTCCTCCAGACAAAACAGTAAGAGAAAAAGTATGAGGAGACTTTCTCTGAGACCCAAAGGAGGAAAGAGTCCCAAAAGATAGAAAAAGATTCTGTAAAATAATAATTTGTGGAAATTTACTAGAGAGAAGTGAAGAAAGACGATTTATTTTGATTTCATTTTGATATTTTATATTTATTTTTCTTTCTTTTTTAATCTAACTTACATCACGTTAAATTTAAACCAGCATAGCTTATATATTTTTTTATATCTTATATTTCTTTGTCTTATGACTTTGACGAAATTACTTTGGTTGTCGAGTCGAATATTTGATCGGACTTTACTACACTTTACTACTACTTAGACTATTTATTTTGATTTCATTTTAATATTTAATATTTATTTTTCTTTCTTTTTTAATCAAACTTACATCATGTCAAATTTAAACCAACATAGCTATATATTTTTATTCAATTTTTTTAATTCTTGTCTGACTTTGACCAAATTGACTTTGACTTTTTGACTATTTATTTTTATTTCATTTTAAGATTTTATATTTATTTTTCTTTCTTTTTTTAATCCAACCTACATCACATTAAATTTAAACCAACATAGCTTATTTATTTTTATCTAATTTTTATATTTCTTTGTCTATGACTTTGGCGAAATTACTTTGGGTGTGGAGTTGAATATTTGATCGGACTTTACTACAGTTTACTACTACTTAGACTAGTTATTTTGATTTTGTTTTAATATATATATATATTTTTTTCTTTTTAATCTAACCTACATCACGTTAAATTTAAACCAACATGGCTTATATATTTTTATCTAATTTTGATATTTCTTTGTCTATGACTTTGACCAAATTACTTTGGTTGTCGAGTGGAATATTTGATCGGACTTTACTACTACTTAAACTATTTATTTTGATTTCATTTTTATATTTAATATTTATTTTTCTTTCTTTCTTTTTTAATATAACTTTAAAACTAAATTTAAACCAACATAGCTTATATATTTTTATCTCATTTTGATTTTTTTTTTCTTTTTTCTATAACTTCGACAAATTTTTCTTCAGGTTTTGAGTCGAATATTTGATCGAGTTTCCTTCCGTTTGCTTGAACATTCGTAGTTTAGGCACCATAAGTAGAGGTTATATTTACAGAGGTATATTGACCCCCCCCCCAGCTGCGCCCCCCCCAGCCCGCGGTCTACCTCTTCGTTTTGGACGTGTCCCACAACGCGGTGGAGGCCGGATACCTCCAGTCCTTCTGCGATTCCCTCCTGGAGAACCTGGACAAGTG